CTGGCTTATGTTGTTTGAGCAAATGACAACTAATTAACTGTTAGAACAATTAAGTACCTTGAGAATAGTCAACTGAGATCTGCCCTGATTTTTTTCTGATCCCCATTTACTTAAACAAAAAACCAAAAACAAAAGCTCTGCATGGATCAGGTTTATGAGTGACAGGTAACAAGAAGGTCCCATATTTTAAACATCTCAGATGGCCCCATCAGCTGATTCTTTGCACAGCGTGGACATTGGAAGGTGAAAGTCACTCCTTGCTTCCTTTTGTTTCCACATGCAAGCAATTGAACCCACGTGTGTAGGTCACCATTTCCATGCTAGTGAATGCAGATTTGTTCAGCCCAGGTAGGGAGGGATAGGACAAAAACAAAGTAAATCAGGAACTGGAGGAGAGCTTTTTCCAGGGTCCTTACTAGAAGACCAGATATCCCAGCCAAGGGCACTGTGGGAAACTATTGGCTCCCATAGGAAACCAAACCCAGATCTTTCTAGGTGGGCAACGGAAGTAGATACTCCAGGTGGGGGAAGGACCCTTCTCAAACTGGGATGTGCACACGACTCACCTTGGGATCTTATTAAATGAAGATTCTGATCCAGTGGGTCTGGGTGGGATGAGACCTGAGAGTCTGCGGTTCTAACCAGCAACCCGGACATGTTGACCCTATTGGTCTAGGAGCCAACCTCCTGACTGAGCGGCATGGGTTCAGAACAGTGCCTTTATATGTAAATTTGCAAAAGAGCCATTTGGAAAGCTCACTTCAACACAGGTTTCTCTTCCCCAGCCCTAGAGACAGATTTCATAGACAGGGCCTGCTGATTTGCCTTTTAACAATTCCCAGGTGATGCTGCTAGTCCCTGGACTATGCGTGACAAGGCTGTAGTTAACTTGGAACAGACTTAGTAAGATGACTCTGCCTCTTCTACCAGTAGCCTTCTCTTTAAGAACAAAGAATCACACACCAAGAGATGAAGGAAGATGCCACTGAGTCTTCCCTTTGGAGAAAAAATGACATAGCATACTCGGAGAGTATCACAGGGTCTGTGTTATTTTTTTGCTTTGACAACATGCTGTTTTGACTGAAGACTGAAAAGGACGCTTCTGGAATAAAATCTAGAGATAAGATTGAGCTAAAAGAACAACAACTCTACCTGGGGCGGTGCTGACTGGCAAGTAATGGGACTAGTTATTTTAGGATGACAAAGCTATATGTGCATTAAAAAAAAAAAAAAAAGCTAAGAGCTCAAATACCAAAATGTTGTCAGTGGCTAGCTCTTGATGTCAGCAATGGGATTTGGGGTGATGTTCACTTATTGCTGTATACTTTTTTGCTTTACATTTTTCTGCAAAGGACATTTAAATACTGCTTCCATAACTTAAAAAAAAAACCCCTACCAAATGTTTTTAAAGGGAAAAAGGGAGGTATACACCCTGTGTAAATTCATATTTTTTTGGTTTGGTTTTGTTATGTCTATGCCCTTCTGCTGCTTTTTCCAGTGGGAAAGGGATTGTTTAGTCCATGACAGTCCAGTGTCCCAGGGGCAAAGGAGAAAGCTAAGGGCAAGGCCATGCCATTTGCCTGGAAAATGGACGCCCGCCTGCGTGGTGAGAACAAGGAGTCCCAGAGGAGAGGTTGTAAGTCCCTAGGAGAAATCAGAGGCAGCTTCTCTTCTTCCCTCCTCTTCTCCTAAACCATCCAGCTAAGCCCCAAGAGTCCCTGGAAGGACCTTTCTTGTCCTTCACCTTAGAAGGGCTGAAATAAGCTTTAAGTTCGAATTGGAAAAGATTAAGAAATCAAGAGAACAACCTGCTGGGGAAAGGGAGAAACTACGGATTTGGACACCCAAATTCAATGGATCCTTTGGGCTGGTTGCATGGGCCCACTCAGCATGGCCAGACCAGAGGGAGGCACCCAGCGTGGTAAGAATCCTATCACGAGCGTGTCAACATTGAGCCGATGAGTGTGCTCAACGTGCGTCAGGGAGTGATCCTTCTAGAAACACGCAGCCCTGGGCTTGAAGATGTACCTTTTAGGGCATTATGTAGACTCTTGACATATGTGCTTATTTTCAGCAATTCAAGGAAACATATTTAAGTCACAGGTTTTTGTGGGTTTTTTTTTTTCCTTCTGTTAGTCTGGAAACATTCAACGAAGTTCATATGCATCTAGTTCACCCACAGTACAACTTCTCAGCTAAACTCTAGGGCTCTGCTGTCACCTGCTGGCATTTCATCTACTTTGTTAGAAACTGCAAAAGAAACGCTCAACATATTTCCTGAAGTCTCTTGGTCTTAATATGCCAGGTGTCAATTACCTGGAAGACCATGGAGAGAAGGAAAGGCCTGATGGGACTTGTCCACGTCATGGGGGGGAGACGTGTGAACAAGCCTTAAGGAAGGGCAGACAACAGAGCCTCTCAGCCCTGAGCCAGCTGATCTTGGGCAAGGCCCTTGACCCTCACTCTCATCATCACAAAGAGAAGCAGCAACAACCTCCCCCACCCCGGGGCCCTTTAGGGCCTGTGAGGATTCCAGTGGCATTTCCTACTAACTAAAGCATGAGTACTGTCCCTGGAGTGATGACCTCAGAGGTCACTCCCGGAGACCTTTCTGTCACAATAAACAAGATTCTTCACCAGCATTATATTTTCAAAAGACGGATGAGTTGTTGAAGCCTCCTCAAAGTCTGGTATCTCTGTAATTTATTTTTAGGAACAACTAAATCAGAATGCTCAGAAAAAGCCAGTGAACAGTCTCAGAAATTGCCCAGTTTTTTGCCCTAGGAAACCATGGACTCTGTTTTATGTTTTGGAACACGGAACAAGCCTTCAGGTTGAGAAGACGTTGCCCAGTGAATGCCAACCTAATTATTTATGTTTTTCTGTCTCCTCTTGGGAAACACTTTGTGAGCCTGCGGTTTGTTAGGCCAACAACAGGATATTTGAAGGTCCCCAGGGAATTATAGTCCCATATTTAGCCTGACAGAGGAAGTAAAGGCTGATGATGAAAATAAGGCATTTCTTTAATGCTATCGGTGCCTGCCTTCCTCCTCCCTCAGAATCCTGGTGTCACCATCATGAGGCTTCCGATGCTATTTATGGTCCTCAGGAAATGGCCTTTTCTAGTTGTGGAAGGGAATTGACCTCTTCTGGCTCCTAAGTCCTCCTTCAGAAAACTGTTAGGTATGACTGGAGCATAAAGAGGAAAGCCAGAACTGTCCATTAGACTCTTACCCATTGGGATGACTATTCTCAAAATGAAAACAAAGCAGGAAAAAAAAAGTGTCAACAAGGACTTGAAGAAATTGGAACCCACGTGCACTGTTGGTGGGAATGTAAAATGGTAACAGCTGTGTCACAGAATGGTGGTTCCTCAAAAAATGAAAAATAGAATTACTGTAGGATCCAGTAATTCTGCTTCAGAGTATATACCCCAAAGAATTGAAGGCAGGAACTTGAAGAGATACTGGTATACCCATGTTCATAGAAGCATCAATCACAATAGCTGCCATTAATCATAGTAGCAAGCCAGGTGTTCATCAGCAGATGAATGGAGAAGCCAAATGTGGTCTACACAGCCAAGGGAATATTATTCAGCCTTTAAAAAGAAGGAAATTCTGACACAGGCTGTGATCTGGCTGAGCCTTGAGGACATTATGCCAGTCAAATTTGTCAAAGGGCAAATACTGTATGATTTGTTTTTATAAAGAACCTAGGATAGGCAGATTCATAGAGACAGAAAGTAGAATGGTGGTTGCTAGGGTTGGGCGGGGGAGAGGAAACTGAGGAGTTGTATAATGGGGACAGAGTTCCAGTTTTGCAAGAAGAAAAGAGTTCTGGAGATGGATGGTGGTGAAGGTTGCACACAACGTGAATATTACTTAATGCCTTTGAACTGTTCACTTAAAAATGGTTCCAATGATAAATTTAATGTTATTTGCATTTTATCACAATGAATTAAAACCACACACACTTTACAGAACTTAGTCTTTACCTTTGGCCCTTGCAATGACTAAATCACTAGCCCACGTTAAACCTGGTAATACTGTGCAGGGCTGTCCGATATAACCTTCTGTGTCAACGGAGATGTTCTTCGTCTGGGCTGTCCAATGTGGTAGGCACTAGCCCCATGTCGGCTTTCAAGCACTTGATATGTGATGAGTGAAATGGAGGCACTGAATTTTACTTTTATTCAGTTTAAACAGCCACATGTGGCTAGTGGACAGTGCAGGTAGACTATCCATCTGTACTACTATGCCCAGTTATTTTCCCTTCCTCAGCACAGAGGAGTTGGCCTTAATGGACGGGCCAGCCTTTTCTAGTTGAATGTCCTTACGAGACCCAAATTCCTTTACTGCCGTGTACAGTCTTCCTTCACTTTTCCTTGTAAATCCATGGAGTGATGTTATGAACTAAAACTGAGGTCCAAGTCCTTATTATACAGAAATTATGTAAGTGCTTCAGTATTTGCCTGGATACCCCAGCAATCAGTGCATGCTTTACTTTTTAAGGCTCTGCTGGAAATCACAGACAGGTAAGATATGTAACAAATTTCTTAGATTGAAATAGAATCACACGATAAAATTGATGAACCCCAAACGCATTTGTCCTCTAAAATGGGAATAGCTAAATATGTCATCATGTACTGTATAACGTTGCTTAGAAATAATGAAGGTTGCCAGTGGCTGAAAAAGGATTTCTATTTAAATAGGCTGCAAATAGAAGGTTTAACAAGTCAATCAGTGGGCAGCGTTCCTTTGTGACAACCCAGTGTTTAATGATGCTCTAGATGTTACATTTATCTTCACGGAAAGAATGAAAGCTGTTTATTAAAGAATAAAGTATGGCATGCAAAATGAAGATTGCTCTGTGGCAGGGAGGAGATAAAAGAAGAGTTTACATTATTCTTATACCGAATGGATACGGGCTGTTTAATAAAAACTACCATTTTCAGTTCCTGTGGTGTTGCTCACCAGGAATGCTTTTTCTTTCTCTTTCAGCAATGGGTAGAAGGACTGAGATCAATCATACACAACTTCAGGGCCAACAATGTCAGTCCAATGACCTGCCTCAAGAAACAGTGAGTTTTATTTACATCACTCTTTGCTCTTGGCTGTTAAAAAGCAAAAGGTCAGATTAGGAGATGAAGGCTTCGTGTATTGCCAGGCCACATTGTCCTTGCCTTCCCCTCCATGCTCCTGACCCTGGAAAGGAAGTTCCCGACACACACCTGGACTCTTCATGCCACTTGGCAGGGCACGTGTGATCAACCCATAGCCCAGACTGATAAGAAAGGAATGATTGATGGCAGGAAGGTGCTGGAACTTCAGTATCCTCTGGGTCATTGGACCCAGACAATAGTTCTCCATGCCTGGGGCCATAGTTGGGTGCTGTTGTAGCTGGAGCCTCTGTTGTGTGAGACAAAACTGGGGAGTGTGGCCAAGAGAAGCACTTACAAAAGCACCCATTTCTAGGGTCACAAAGGAGCACTGGCCCCAGGGACTGTTAAGCACCCAGTCAGGGATCCAAACGTACTGGCCTTACCCCAGCTCACAGTATCCAAAATCCAGAGGGATGCCGCCGTGGTAGATTTTTAACCCTTCCCAAGTTATTCCATCAAGGTGACGTGAAAGTTACTCAAGTAGAAAGCCTAGCCAAAGCCAAAGTCAGCCTGTTTAAAAAGCAGCAATCGGTGCAGGAAGGGGGCTGCCCGCCATCATGGGCCATTGCCAGGCAATTGTAGGTGCAGAAGGGAACTACGCTGAGAAATTACAGGAATAAGCCTGCACTTGGAACCAGCACCAAGGGTGTGATTCCTTGGACTGTCCAGCAGGAGGAAGAGAGGTCAGCCCTTTGGCTACTTTCACCCTTAGTTTTGGTCCCTTTGGCAGGTGCTTGAAGAGAACAGGCTCTTGACTACAGTCCCAGCTTGGCCACTTAGTTCTTGGGTGACCCTTGACAAGTTCTTAGCCTCGTGCCTTACTGTTCTTAATCTGTGAATGGAGAAGGTGACCAGAACTTATTTTACAAGATTACCACACAGATGTAATGAGGTCCTGGAAAACGCCCAGCCCAGTTCCTCCTTCATTCAGTATTAGTGATTTTGATTATTATGCCAGCCCTCTGGTTTTCTTTCCGTCACCTTAGTAGGGGGTGGTTAGTCTTGTAAATACCGGTTTGTCCTGCAGCTGCTTCTCCTCTTCCTCTGCAGTTGCTGTGGCATGTTTTCTTAGAAATAAAGAGCAACAGTGGATATTTGACATTCCACTTTGGGCATTGATAGAATCCCGAAGGATCTGAGACTTTGAGAATGCCCACTTAGACCTGAGGGACCCCAGTATCTGTAGGTGGACACCAGGTCTTATCTGTCCCCATTGGCGTCCTGCTGGGATCCCTTTATGGAGCTGGTGTTCACCCATCCACCAACTGCCATGAGGGTTAGCTCATCAAGAGGTCACACCTGCCCACTTCTGCAGAGAATGACCCTGTGCTGAAAGCGGAGTCACTGTGCCCGGGAGACTGCACTCCTCTCTTTTCCTGGTGGGAAGCCCATGGCCCATAATGGGCTGGAACAGGATACAAAAGGCCAGCCCCCATGCCACCAAGTCTGGTGCACATCACGCTCCAGAGCCCCCCCTGGCATCAGGCTAAAGCACCAGCAGAGACCACAACTTTGTGTGACTGTTCTGGTCCTTTCTGCTTCCCTCACACCTGTTGTCTTGAAAACATTCTCTGGAAAGGAGTCACTTGGGCCTCTAGGAGATTGCCAGAAGACGGAAACTTTACCAAATTGTCATGTTCTGCTCATTGTTAGAATATTATTGACTGGAATCCATGAGAATGTGAGTTAATAGCTAGGAACAATCCCAGCACCTACGAATGAATATTCTGCGTCCCTGTGTGTCCAGAAAGCCTGGGGAAAGCAAGGAGTTGCTTACCATCAATTTGAGTTGATGAACTTCTCTTCCTCTTGGAAATTAAGGAAGGTGCCCATTCGATCTGTGCTTTGCTGCACTGGGAACAGGGAGTGGGGTTCCCCATGGGTCCTCAGGACAAGGCTGGCTGGTGTCACCGTGCGGTTGCATTTCCATCTTAGTAAAGATTATTAAAGAGCAATAATCAAGGATGAGACCAATCACCAAAAAAGTACCTACAATTTGTTTTGCTCAGTGCAAGCACCCAAATTTCTAGTTCATCTAGGGTTGCTGGGAAAAATACAGAATTCCCAGTTAAATTTAAATTTCACATAAGTAATAGTTTTTGAGTATAAGCATATTCTGTGCAGTATTTGGAACATACTTGTAAAAAAATTGTTTTTCTGAAATTCAAATTTAACTGAGAGTCCTGTATTTATATTTGCTAAACCTGACAACCATAAATTCATCTCACAGTATATTATTGTCTCTAGTTTTCAGAATAAATGTTCTTTGTTTGAATGAACTTTCTTTTAAAGTTCTTAACTGGATTGAAGTGTTGCTCCTAAGAAACATTAAAACAGTGTTATGGTTGTTTTCCAGCTGGATGAAATTGGCGTTTATGACCAACACAAATGGTAAAATTCCAGTTAGGAGGTAAGGCCATCATTTCTGTCTATATTCCATATCCTGGGCCGACCCTTGTGATACCAGACCAAAGAGAGAGCCCATCACAAGTGCTTGTTAATTGTTTTCACTAAAGATATTTCTGGAAGTTTGGTTTAAATCACTCCATCAAATGCCGTGTTTAGTTTGGAAAAATCATTTGTGGATGTAAAGTTGCATTTTTCTTCAGAACGGGTAGCATTAACTCTACTTCGATAAAGAACATCTGAAGATGTAGCAGATTTCTTTTTAATCTTCAAATATATGGGTTTTTAGGATTTTAATGTCTTTCATCTTCTTGCCCTGAGCGACCATTAGCTAAAATGAAAGAAGTTTGTACTGTGCACCTTTATTGGAAGTGTATAGACTGTGTCTTCAGAAGAGTGGTATCTCTGGACGGTGCTTCTCATTCTGGGCCTTGCTGTTCCTTTGGTGGGTGGGGCAAGTGGATGCCTTTGGCTTCTGGCCACTTGGTCTCTAGGTGTACTCTCCCTGACACCATGCACTTTTCAGAGCTGTCACTTTTTCCCCTTGCTGTGCCCAAGGTAACAGTGACAATGAAAAAAAAAAAAAATGGCAGTAAAGCCTGAATGGAATCAAGAATGAAAAAAACAGGGGCACCTGGGTGGCTCAGTCGGTTAAGCATCCGACTCTTGATTTCGGCTCAAGCCATGATCTTAGGGAGATCAAGCCCCGAATGGGGCTCTGTGCTGAGCATGGAGCCTGCTTAAAATTCTCTCTCTCCCTCTGTCCCTCCCCCACCCCCGCTTGAGTGCATTATCTTAGAGATAAAATTAATAACTAGATCTTAAGAAAGAAAAGAATGAAGAAAACATGAACTAGATTTGTCTTCCACATGTCTTCTTTTAAAAAAAAAAATCTATTTATTTTAGAGAGAGAGCATGAGTGAATCAGGGGGAGGGGTAGAGGGAGAGAGAATCCTGAAGCAGACTCCCCACTGAACGTGGAGCTCATGCGGAGCTCAAACCCAAGACCCTGAGGTCATGACCTGAACCAAAATCAAGAGTCGGTCGCTTAACAGACTGAACCACCCAGGCGCCTCTCCAACATGTCCTCTTTAATACTTAAGCTGATATGTTTCACCCTCTGAGGATTCCCAATGCTTCCTTCTTTTCTGCCTCTCTATTCCATTTCTGGTGTTAGGATTTGCTAATGGTCTGTGGGGACATTTTGAGATGGTAGTGATAGGGATTCTTTACCAAACTCTCCTAGTATCTTTTTGGTTGGTGTTTGTGTAAGCACTTCATGGAGATTCCAGAAGCTGGAGTGGACTGCAGAGCATCAGCTGTCCACATGAAACAAGGAATGTGTTTGGATTCATGAGCCTAAGCCCACAGCTGAATTAATCATGGGTTCCCTAGATACCAACCCAGTCTTCTAGAATTCTCCAGACTTAGGTTCATGTTGACCTCCTCTCTGGACACCACTTTAGTGAAGAAGCCAACTGACAACAACAAATAAAACCCAGAGCTACTGGGTAGAGTCTTATCTTGGAACTGTTTTATCTGTCAGAGATGAGGCAAACAGGTTACCAATTGATAGCATTTGAGCAAATGCATTCAAGCAGTGGCATGCTGATCACACTTAGCCATTTCTGACTTTTCTATACCTCCCTCTCTGCCCAGCCACCTCATTCTGCCTTGAAGCTTCCATTCTGTATCCCTAGGAGATTATCTCCATACTCTCTCAAAATTATTCTTTTCACATTTAACGGAATCATCTTAGGGGCATCTGGGGGGCTCAGTCGGTTAAGCATCTGTCTTCGGCTCAGGTCATGATCCTGGTGTCCTGGGATTGAGCCCTGTATCAGGCTCCCTGCTCAGCAGGGAGCCTGCCTCTCCCTCTCCCGCTCCCCCCTGCTTGTGGTCTCTCGTTCTGTCTCAAATAAATAAAATCTTAAACAGAATTGTCCTAGAGGCCATCATTTTAATTCCGTGCTCTATAACAACCCTTGTGACAGAACTGGAATATCAATGAGAAAATTAAAAGCATACAAATCATAAGGAAGACCATGGGCAATATTTTTACTTAACCTTTTATTAAGGGCTTACCAAGTCGTACACCTCATGCATTGTTGTGGTCTTTATAGATCTACATGTAGGATTCTTCTTTTTATTAACTTACTAGCAAATCAATTTTATGTCTACTTTAGAAAAAGAAAGTAGAACCTTTTAAAAAAAAAAAATGCCCTGTTAGCACCTTTGACTGATAATTGTTGGCAAAGATACTTTAAACTGATCCTTATTTTTTTTAAATCCTTTGCTCTGTTGAGCAATAGCAGGACAATTATTTTAATATATCCCAGCATCCTACAGCTACTGCCCAACATATAGTACGTTTTTCTTTAAAATCTATATTGAATTAAGAAGTCCAAACTTAGCACAGACAGCAGTGTGGAGAACAGAAATTTATGCTGGATCTGTTTTTACATACCTTACCGTCCTGCTTTTTCTTCCAAGATAAGGTTCAGGAAATGGACAAAGTAGAAACACATAGATTGCAATCAAAGCACTTCTAACTAACAACTCTGGTTTCATTTATATGTATCCTCCTAATCAAGCCATTGTTAGACAAGCTTGGAAGTTTTTTTTATGGTTTCAAAGATCTTTATCGGTATGTTCACATACAAAATTATTACCATCCTTTTGTCATTTTCTTTAGCTCTCTTTGACATGAACACTTTGGTGCCTGCCAGTATTAACAGGTGTTTGACACAAGACATCTGTGATTCGGGGGCAGTTTGTTCAGAGTTGATGGAGAATTGACACCAAGCCAGAGAAAAGCGGATGAGTCCCTGGTAGATGAGCTGCCAAGGGCTAGGTGGAAATTGTTCTGAATGTTTTAATGGATATGAAGAGTAAACACTTTTAAAATGTCATTTCATCACTATCATTCTGGAGTTCTTAAAATGGAAACTATTAGTATAGTGTGCATACTGTTAAAAGGGATCTGGCTTCATAGTTGTTCCATCGCTTGGGAATGGCCCCTGCTCTTGAGTATTAGCTGAAATTTAATATCCAGGAAGTTGCCAGAATGATTAATGAAGAAAGTCTTACTCTTTATCTCCCTCTTTTCTTTCCATGTGTATAATCTTAGGCAATCTGCCTTTCTCTCAAACTTACAAATTCACACTCAGTTTATCTTCCCACCCAGACCAAAGCTTTGAAAGTCACTCTTTTCTTTGCCATTTCCTATTCCTTGTAACCTGGAGTTGGAACCAGTGGCTAGAGAATCAGGAAATGATAGCCAAACATTAATTGTGGGCTCTGGCTGGAAGTAGTCTTTTTTTTTTTTTTTTTTTTAAAGATTTTATTTATTTATTTGACAGAGAGAGACACAGCCAGAG